TCCTTAATTCAGTTAAGAAACCCAGGGACGCGCAAAGTCGAGCCTAAAAGCATTTCCTGATAGAAAACCCTCAATTTGTCCCTCCATTTTTTACCCTCCCTGCTCTCTCGAATTCCTCTGGCTCTCTGCTCGGCCAAAGAATGCTGAGGGAAATATTGGGGAGGGTAGTCAGTACCTGGGAAATAACGAAAACGAATGCGAGAAAGGAGAAGATTTGTCGTTGTTGTTTGCGGGGAGTAATTGTTAGCTATTTTCAACCGCATTGATGATTTCTATAAATATACACGGTGAGAAATATTCAATAAAAATTACGCATCTTTTCCGTAATTCCGGAGCGAAATGTGGTGGTAGGAAATTTTACGGAACTGTCACAGAATTTTTCCAGAGCGTTCCGTAATTTTTGCCGGAATCTCGTGTGAAAAATTATGATACCGTCACTTAAATTTTTTAAGTCGATTCCGTAATCGCTGAGCGGATTGTGAGTTCCGTAATTTTTACTGAATATTTCTCTCCGTGTACCCATTGGGCCTTACAGATTTTTTACTATAAAAAATACATTCATTCCTCACGAATGCATGACGAATGCCAATTTAAATTGCAGAAATTGCTGTAATTGCATAGTTATGGTTATAGTAATACCTATGAAAATGTTACATGGATTTTTTTTAAAGGGAGTAAGAGAAAACGTTCTAGTTCTCAGTAATTTGAAGAATAACTTTGAAATTCGGGGTAATTTGGCGCTAAATATTCGCATTTTAATTGAAAATTCCAGTGAATTGGGAATTCTTCGGCTCCTGAAAAGATCCCCCTAAATCAAATTTAATACTGGTGCTCCCTAAAGTTACGTGTAAACTGTCCATGAAATTTCAATTTTCTTTCGACACCTGCTAGCCTGTTCGAGCAAGAAAAATGCCCAGTCATCACCTGCTTTATTCAACTAGACACCACCAGAGCAATTCACCCCGTAAACCCAAACAAATTTCCTTCGTCACTGAACCATCAGTAAATATCTCCACTCATTCCGTCGAAAATTCTATTCGCAAGGACAAAACTTTCCGACTCCACAAGTCAACATTTGTTTTTGTCACAATGAACAAAAGCGACTGAATCGTCAATTATCATTACAGAGAAAAAACGTTTTTATTTTCAGTGAAATTCAGCGAGTGAAAAACACTGAAATTCAGTTATTTTGTCACCAATTTTCAGCGCTGTTATCGAATTAACGATATCGAATCAGTTAATTTCTTGAATTTTCAAATTATTTTCGATTTTCAGATCCATGCGGCACTGAAAAACACTGAAAATTTGGAAAATTCAGGCAACAGTTATCTGAATTCTCAATAAGTGGTAAACGAAGATAAGTCGACTCATCTCCCAGTTGAGTTTTTGAGGAATATTTCCGAATCTAAGGGAGATAGCGGAATTTTCGTAACTACATTTGTCGTAGCACTCAATGGGCTTCACAAAAAAGGTCATAACAAAAATTTTGCTATCTCCCTTAGAGTCGAGATATTGATTGAAAACTGGTCAATAGTCGAAATTGACTTATCTCCTTGACCACTTGAAAAATCACCAATCGTTTACCAAAAAACCCCAATTTTCTCAAATTTCCAAAACGAATCTTCAAAATTTCGTGAACCCTTCTCATTCGAAATTGACTTCACCCTCACAACCTCGAAAATTCAGGTGCCACCGTACCTGAAACGTCAAGAAATTTCCCCCAGTGTCCCCATTATTACCAATAATTCATAAATACCAATAAATTCCCGAATTACTCCCCGATGATCTCACATGTCCACCTCCACCAATATTCCGAAGTACCCCACCCCACCCCGGCCCCGAAAAACAAACCCAATGCCAGCTGAAAAATGTGAAAACAGAATGAGGAAAAGAAAAATGAGAGATTTCACTTTATCCCCCCACATATGTGACCATAACCCCATCCCCCCGGCTTGTTTCGTGGCGTCACCCTCAAATTCCTTAGGCCATTATCGTCATTCCTCTCCGCCTCCTTCAACCCCCGTCTTCCCCCCCCCCCTCCCCTCCCCCCTCTTGTATCCCCATTTCTCTCAATTTCGAAGGATATATGTATGCACTATGGGAGACTGTGTCGACGCGTGCAGCGATGCGACACGAAAGCGATACATTTCCGGTCGCGATACACGAACGCCCTCTTCGGTTATTGCACCCCTCCCCCCCTCGCCCCCCGTTACATCCTCTTAAACGACATACCATATAGATCCCCTTTCTCTCTTCCCCTTGTGTCGCCAACAACACGCTCGAGAACAATGTCGTAGCTAATTGCATTTATCGTGCGACCCAGCGTATCACGATTAGACAAATCCGTCCCGTCCAAAGTGATTTCAATTCCCCGGCCCTGACTATGACTTTATTCAATTATGCGAATTGTTGTGTGTGGAAAATACACGGGGAAATGGATTATCGAGATATTCGAGTTTGATTCGTTCGGGTGGAAATGAATAATCGTGGTTTATAAATGTTTAGGTATTTAATTCGGGGTTTTCAATGTTTTGCCCATTTCATTATCATTTCGAGAGAATTGATTTGTATTAATGGATTCATTATATTAATTGATGCGGACTTTTGAGATATAAGTTGCGAATGTGGAAATTCAATTTGGGGCTTGATTATTGCTATCGTGAAATCGGTAATGGACGCTTCGGAGTTTTGTGTCGGGGAAATTTGATTTATGGTGAAGAGGAAATTGTGACTTGTTTTCGGGCGCGGGAGGGGTGAGGTGCGATAGCAGGAGAGGTTTGCAATGTTATTAGAGGAGTGACGTGGTTTATTGCGAGTGGAAGCTGCTGGAGGAATGTCTCATCAAAAAGTTGGGAATATTTTTTAGGGGCACTGTGAGGGGGTAGAGTTATCTTATTATTTTTGGGAAATTATGTCAGAGTAGGATGGGTAGTATTTTTAGTGTAGTATAAATTGGCGAAGTGGGTTTACGGCACTTGTACAATTTCGAGTATTTAAGAAATGTTTATTGATACGTTGACAGAAGGATTTATTCGCTAGTCATAGGGCTTTGTAACTGTACGGAGAGAAATTCTTTAGAAAAATTGTAGCGCTGTTAGAGTAAATTTCTAGGAATTTCTGATAAAATTTCCTGGGTTTTCTGGGGAAATTGCATATGAGAGCGAGAAAACTTCACGTGCTACTCAATAAAATTTCAATTTATTTAATGACAAATACACACTTGAGGAGAACAAAACGCAAGCGCAATTTTTTCGTTGATTATAAAAGATCTCTTCGTTAAAAATAATAAAATTTCAGTTTTTCCCTGGTGAATGTATAACGGTCGATAAACATTTCGAGATCTACTGGAAAATTATGAACCATTTTTGAATTATATTGCATTATTTATTCATGAAATGAAAATGTAAAACATCCAAGTTTCAAGTTATTTCAATTCTTTTTCCTGAAACTTCAAGAGCTTAATTGCGATATTTTTATTGGAAATGAATAATAAAATCTCCCTTTCCTTTCTTACTAAATGGAAACAGTCAACAAATATTTTGACACCTCACAGAAAATCATGAATTATTTTAGAAGCAAGTTGAGTCATTCATTTATGAAAACAAAATATTCTAAAAAATCAAGTCTTATGTTAATTCAATTTATTCCCTTGAACCTTCAAAAGTCAATGAATTATCTGCCATCACAGAATCCACAACCCTTCAAACAATTTTCATAATTAATTTTTCCCAACAAAACCATGAAAAAAACCAGCCTCTTCCCAAAAATTCAAGAATAACTTTTCAACACTAGCCTCTCCACGCCCCCCAAACTCCTTGACAATCGAATCAAACGGGATAAAATTGGTTACCCAAATAATACCCCCGCGCCCGAAGAATTCGATCATTAAACACACCATACGCTGAGCGCCGAAAGAGGCTTTCCGATAGAGAAGGGGGGGAGGGAGCGCTATAATTGATTAACATTCGAATGTCGAAAGGGCGAGCGATCAAACCATACGGTCCAGCTCGTTTCCATTCCCAATGCACCCCCTTTTCACCAGTCCGAGGGGGTGGCGGTTTTCCTCCCCCCTGCCCCTGACTTTTTTCCCCATAACAAGGAAAAAGCGACGATTATACCGTAGTAGAGAAAACCGCCCTCTCACCACCTCCGCACGTGTGGACCATGTTTACTTTCCATTACAATTATGGATATTGATCCTGACTCTGGGGCTCTCTATAGTTCTCTCTCTCTCTCTCTCTCTCTCTCTCTCTCTCTCTCTCTCTCTCTCTCTCTCTNTCTCTCTCTCTCTCTCTCTCTCTCTCTCTCTCTCTCTCTCTCTCTCTTTCTCTCTCTCTTTCTCTTTCAACTCCACAGCCTCTCTCGCGCGGTTTATCAGGGACGCCAGAGCGGTCTCTGCGGGACACGAATAGATTGACTTTGGAAATTGTTTTTCTTTTTATATTCGGTTATGGCTGGCTGATACAGCCATTTTTCCTATTTTATTTCATCCCCCCCGCGGGGGTGCGCCGGCGGCAGCGGTGGCGGCGGGCGAAAGGGCTCTCCCTGTCATTCTTCTCCGTGTAAAATAGGGTGATATGCGGACATGGCTATATACGTATTGGCATTATTGACAGGTGTATGGTATACGTCAGGTGCAGGGCCAACGTCGGCATCCCCCNCCCCCGCCCCTCTGGGCTCAATGGGGATTGACACTGACGAGATAGAATTAAAGGATAAAAGCAGAAATGGAGATCAACCTTGTGTTATTAATACAAGAGGCTGTCCACTCTACTGTGAAGTACAACGTGAGTGTAATGTTTCACGAATGTCGGGATTCGTAACGAGTTTATTATTCGGCTCAGTGATTCTCGGGGGAGATAATGCGGTGACATATTCGTGATTGTCTCCGTTTGAAGATGAAGATGCAAAACTTCTGACTCTCGGAGTCACGTCAACACCATTGAACCTCACAATTACCCTCTCTCATTGTTGGTGGAGTACAAAAAAATGTGACTCACCGTAAAAATCGTGGAAATCGCTCACTCATTCCCGTGCAGCAGCACTCAAGTCCCTTTTAACTGCCATTCGTGAAATGGAACTGAAATAAACTCAAATATCGTTGTAAACTGACACGACTCTACAATTTCCTCTCCTTGTAATTCAATAAAATTTCCGTCCCGGTGTATTCACTCCCTAACGTCTTCCTCAAATCGTTTATTCCACCTCCTTATCGCATACGTAAGCGACAGGCGAGGGTGAAGGATAAATAAGGAAATATACGGAACTGATCGTAGATGTTCACCGAGAAATACGATATCTGAATTTCTTTTTTTACTTTGTGCACTCGATACAAGGGTTAACGTGTGTATGGGGCACCCTTTTTTTATTCAACCGTCGCAGTGGGGAATGAAAAAATACACGAGGAGGAGAGAGCTCAGCATCCACCGAGTGTGGAGCCGAGTGGAGTCTGTGCCAGGGGTTGGTTGAGAGAGTAGTTGTAGTCTGAAAGGTTTGGAAACCCTCTCTCTGCGCAAAATCGGGCATCCGCCTTGGCCTGTGTTACTCGCACTGTCTGTCTCACCCGTTCGTGCGCCCCGCATCTTCCGCGCTCTCTCTCGCTTGATTTTTATTTAGTTTTTTCTGGCCGATCCCCCCCTACTGTATAACCCTGGTACACTGTGCGCCACTTTGCCTTGCTTTTGGGGGCTTGCTTTGCCTGCCGGATAGTACCGGGAAACACCTGCGGACACCAACCACCCAACGTACACTGTCAAAAGCCCATACCCGAAACTTCCACTACAAACGTATATAGTCCGATGGTGGGTTATCATCGCAAACTCTCTGGAGATCGCATTGTTTTATGTTCAGCCACCTTTTCCCCATACCCCGCTGGGCCCCCGGACCATGCGCCATCGGTGATAGACCCCTTTATCAATAATCCCCCCCGGTTTCGGACTGTGTACTTCGATATTCTGTTTTTCGGGGTATCGGGTTTTGTTTCATTAGGGTGAAAGGGCTTTGGGATTTTTTACCTGGATGCGGAGGCTTTGGGAGGGCTCCTCTTGGGTTGGGAGGAGTTGTTGTTACAGGGTTAGGAATTTTTCAAACTGTTTAGGGGATTTTTTTTAGGAGACCATACTTGGCGGAATGGATTCAAGATAGTGTATGACACTATCTTGAATAGTGGGTAATGTTCTGGGTAATCAAGACATTTATTATATTCATAGAAAACAATTCCAAATTATTAACTTCCCAACCCAAAAGGAGAAAGTTATTTTAATCGTTTTTCCTTGAAATTCTGAGAGGAATTCCGAAACAATGAAATTTTTTTTTTTCGTACTCAACGTAGAAATAGAGAGTTATCATCGCAAACTCTTTGGAGGTCGCATTGTTTTATGTTCAGCCACCTTTTCCCCATACCCCGCTGGGCCCCCCGACCATGCGCCATCGGTGATGGACCCCTTTATCAATAATCCCCCCCGGTTTCGGACTGTGTATTTCGATATTTTGTTTTTCGGGGTATCGGGTTTTGTTTCATTAGGGTGAAAGGGAGTTGGGATTTTTTACCTGGATGCGGAGGCTTTGGGAGGGCTCCTCTTGGGTTGGGAGGAATTGAGAGTTGTTACAGCGTTGGGAGTTTTTGGAAATTTGAGGATTTGCTGGCAACTGAATTTTTGATCAATTTTTTAAATAAAAAAGCCTATTTGAAGCGAAAAAATGGCAAACTAAAAACGTCGACAAATTTTTCGCGAACTATCAGAAAATAATGGACCATGAAAAACAAAATGAATTTGTGACAAAGAAATCCTCTAAAAAATCAAAATGACGAGTTCCTTCAATTACTCCTCGTTATAGTTCCAATTTTTCTCTTTTTAAAACAAATTGTTTTCGAATGGAGTTCAAAAATAATAATATCCTTGAGATCTAAAAAAAATAGTTTTAATCCGGGAATTATTTTTTCTCTGCGAGGATTAACGAATACCTGATGGGTACAAGAAATATTGGCCAAAGCCTCGGACTTAAGATTCTTGAATAATGGATCAAGATTTCAAGAGCTTGCATTGATTAATATTCAGTTGTTTCATCATAAATGTTAAGGGGATGATTCAATTATTCATCCTTCTTTGTTCAGTTTCAGTTGTGAAAGGCGTTTGTGAATAGTGTTGGGCGGTGAGTGGGTTTTCACGTGGGCTGATATTGAAAAGCTTGGGGCAAATTTCCGGTGTGAAACACACAGAGGGAGAGTTTTTAGTCCATTAGTTCTACCAGATATCATTGATTTTTGTTTCCATTATCAAAACCATTTTTTCACCATGCACTGAAAAATAGCATTGGCCTGTTTTCGTCTGCCATTGTGATATTCTGCTTTTACTGTCATCATAAAACATGGGAGTTGCATGAATACATGATTTTCAACTTGAAAAGGTGGACTGATAAAAATTGTTGAATGGATTTTTAAATTTATAGCGGAGATAAGAATTTTTTTAATTTTTAGTTTTTGGAAACTTTCGAAATTTTTAGTTTCAAAGTATCAATCCCCGTGTTCTCTTGTGTTATCAGTTAATGAATTATTGTTTCTTCGTGTTAATTACTTTTTTTTCAATATTTTACTCTTTCAATTCCAGGAGTAATCTCCTAATAGTGCAGCAAGCACATTTATGACATTTTTAAAAACATTAAAAATATCACACAGAGAAAAATATGTTCCAGGTTTTAGGAATATATCTGGAATTTTTGGGAATTGATCCTATTTTTTTGCCCTAATTAGAATTCTCCTAAGCTTCGGAGATAAGAGAATTTCATGTGAGAGTTATTTTTAATCGAGTTTTCGAAAACTTTCAAAATGTTTAGTTTCAAAGTTTTCAACACCGTCTTCCCTTCTGTTATCATTTACGCGTTATCAATATTTCTGTCTACAATGGGGCTCCCACGTCCACTCTCCTGAATAAAAATTCACAAAATAAAAGGGAATAACATCAATCCATCATCGGAACAGAATCAGTCCATTGTCTTCAACATTGAAGAGTATAAAACCCAAGAGAATCTATGAAATCCCTAAAGAATTCACGAAGAATAAAAATCTGACCTAAGGTTATATTCCGAATCCCTTATTAAAGGTTAAAGGAATTGTTGAGGCGAAGCACAACAAAAGGACCCTCTCTCGGCTACCATCCGCACCAATATCAAAGAATTCCATCCTCGCCGTCATAAATACATTCGAGCCTTGAGGATATCCAAGTACCTTCCACAGTTTCGTACGGATCACGCTATGAATTTGGAGATTTTCCATTATCAGATTTGTCCGTTAAATTGCGTGGGAATTTTTTTTTCAAGACATTCCATTCTTATGAATAATTAAATAAAATTAACAAATAATTCTTTATTTGATTCAAGAAACAACTTTTTTCTCCGTCAATGTTGCCTTCATCAACAGCATCTAAAGATAGAAAAGCTCAATAGCTCATGAGAACGAATAAATCAACTCATTTAGAATTTTCCGGAAATCCATAGAGACTAACTTTTTGGGTAATATTGTCTTGGGATACACCTTAACAGAATAAAACACGTTCAATCATCCCCCCCAGAATCCAAAATCTCCCAGCCTTTCAATCCACCGCCCTCCCATCACTCCCAGGCCCCACTAATTCTTCCCATAACCCACATATTCCCCCGAATTCCGTGAAACCGCATGCAAATGTCACTCCCCAAAAATTACAAATCACCCCCAATGAAATTCGATTTGTCCGAGAAAATCACCGAAATGATCCCCCCCATCAGTAATTTCCCCCGAAAAAACCCTCAAACAGTACCCACCGGACAGATGTTATCGATGAGGGATGCGTGCCACCCGATGAGGAATCGTTGCCCGGGATAAGCAGTGCCACGAGGGTGAACGAAAAAAAATAATGACAACAAGTTCGGAGCTTGTGCGCAAAAAAAGGAACAGAGATAGAGAAAAAATTGGTAGATGGCCGGTGGGTCATAAATTAAGGGCTGTACCTGGGTCCTCGCAGAACAGCATCACGAGTGATGGATCAACCCCGAGTGCCCCTCTCCCTCCCCCCTCTCCCTTTCTCTTTCTCTCGAATTAATCGCCCCGATTTGTCTCCCCTCCCGTCCTCCACTCTTTTAAAACATTTTTCATCTCTCTCCCTCCTTTATTTCACTTCCATTATAACAATTCCATTCCCTTACATACCCCGGGAGAATTCTGTTTCCGCTTCTGTTCGAAACCAGGAACGAAAAAAAAAAATTTCCACCACTCGTTGATTTCAAAAAGCGTGAAACTCTTGACACGCTTGCGACTCTTCGAACCCACACAAAAAACGGAAGAGCGCGGCGCGGGAGAGGGGGCTGGAACGATGAAGAGGAGTGTATGTGCCTGCGGGAGGATGAAAAAAGGGGTGGGTGAAGGAAAAAGAAAGAAATATAGACTATAGAGGGATGGTTTTGTGTTTTTTTCCTTCTTTCGAGGGCTTTTTTCTTCATTTTTTTTGTCGTCGTGTTGAGGGTTCGAAAGTCTCTCATCTCTCTCATCCCTCCCGCCCCCCCCTTTTTTATCTTTTTTTTTCACTCGACGGCATGATTCAACATTCCACCATTGCGAATCCCAGTACTACTCTCGCGCCCGGTTTAACAACCGATCCATAACGATCCGTTGAGCGTTAACCTCACGTTGAGCGAGTGATTCTCATCCATCTGTTTCTGTTGTGTTCCTCTCCCCCTTTGTAAATGCAACATCTGAAAAGCCTCCTGGTGATAGCTGGAGAGACCCGAGTGTTAGTAGCACTCTGTCGGGGCGGGGGGAGAGGGGGAAGGAGCCGGTGTCGAGTGGGTGGGGAGGGGGATTATTGCCGGGTGAATTGAATACGCCCAGTGGATTTAGTAGGAGTTGAGTCAGACGGTTCTCATTGTCACCCGGGGGCACCTGTGTCGCCTCTTCGAATCAGCATCAAATGTACTCATTAATTAATTTGCGATAACGGAAGCCTTTCCCCGGGGAATACTCGTTTTAATTACGGAAGTTTATGGATTGAATTGAGAATTTTATTGTTGAGGGAACGATTATTTTTTTACGCGGGGAAAAACGGTGAAGAAGTTTGCAGAGGGGTGAGGCTGGAGATTGTGGTGTCTTCGAAATTTTTTTTTTTATTCCAAATTTTTCAATTCATTTTAACAATGTTTTCGTTGAAATTCAATAAATGAATATAGTTATTTCAATAAAAATGTATTCGTCGTATTCGTAGAAAAATCTGCATTTCCATGTTTCGGGAAATTTCTCGGATTTTCCATTTACGAAAAATTACTTTCAAAAAGTGGCACAAGGCACCTGAAAGAGGCCCCTGAAAGGTCCGTTAATTAATGAGTAGACACTCACTTAGGAAGTAAATGGGTTTTATTAATTTCGTTGAGAAGTTTTAATTATTATAGCGAGATTTTTTGGTTTACTTCTTAATAACTCCAAGAATGAATTCCCTTTTCAAAGTTTTTTATTCACCTTTTTTGCACCAGAATTTTGTAGCTTCATTAGTTGTTGTCGAGCGAAGAATATTCATTCTTAGTATTCAAGTTTTGTTTCGTTAGTCTCGCGGGACGCGAGGGTGGGTGAATGGCGCAGGAATTCCAAATGGACGGATTAATTAAGGCCTGATAACTACAATTTTCCCGATGCATACCGGGATTACAGAGGGAATTGATCAACTTTATTAATTTAGTTAAAAGGTTTTATTATCCTCAATTTGTACATTTCTACATTTATATCAATATTCCGGGATCAAAAGAGCAGAGGATTATTTGTCGGATGCCGTTGGAAAGCTCGGAAAATGGCAGATTCCAAGTAGTGGGTGGAAAAAAAACCATTTGCGCTTCATTAATCTCGGAAATATCAATAACTTTTTTTATCTCTCGATATTGGAACTCTATTCCTCATTTTATACTGCAATGAGGAGAATGGGCGATCAATGGTGGAGAAAGAGAATAATGAAATTTCCGTAGCTCAATTGTTGATGAACTCTTTTATCGAACATTTCCAGGAATAAAATTGAGGACACAACTGCAGAGAACAGGAATGTTGAGCTTTTGATTGACATTTTACAGTCTTGTTGGAAATTATTGAATTAATCAATGTTGAGGAGAGAAAGTTGAAGCGAAAATGTTTTTTTTCATGTTCTGAGATTCGAAATTTACTACACATTTTGTTGAGGCTTTGCATGATTTTTTAAATTAACAAATACAACAGAAAATATTTGTTCAATCGTTGCAACTGTTGATTTTTCATTATTTTCATAATTTGAGATTTCATCATTTGACATCTCAGAAAGGAAAGCCTCTTAATTAATTTAACACATGTTTTTATTCAAATTGTTTAACACAAATTTATTCATGTCCAATGGAAAAGAATAATGAAATTTCTTTATCTCAACCCTTCGTGAACTCTGATCGAACATTTCCGGGAATAAAATTGAGGACAAAACTGCAGAGAACAGACATGTTGAATTTTTGATTGATATTTTATAAAGTTTTATTGCCAATTAATGAATTAATTAATATTAAGGAGAGGAAATTGAGTTTAATTTTTTTTCCATTTCCTGAGATTTTTTACTGCCCATTTAATTGAGGCATCGCATGACTTTTTTTATTCTCGAAAATGAGGATGGAATAAAGAATAAGAGACATTTTTCCCAGTTAACTCTAATTTCTCATTGAATTAATTTTTTTTTTCAGTGAACAATGATAAATTTCGGAATTATAGACGACAGAAAATATTTCTTCAATGGACGAAACTTCTTGATTATTCATCATATCCATTAAAAAATGTGTCTTTTTTTCATTTAATTTCCGAATTTCCCAATTTATTAAATAAAAAAAATCATACAACTCCTCAAGTGCCCCTACTTCAATGCAATCCCCTTTTGTCATGAATTCTCTACGATCTTTTTCATTCCCTCTAATCGTAGAATGATGAACAGCAGAATGAGGAAGTTTGCAAAATCCACTTGAAGCATATTTTAATGAAGTCTGAATGATAACGCAGGAAGAAGGGAAGAGTGAGCAGGATGTAATTAGATAAGAAGCCCTCTTAATTAATTTAACACAATGTCCAATGTTTAGACTGGGGTTTGTATAGTGTAGTTGGTCTGCTGGGTGGTTGAATCTCTGAAAGTACGAGGGGAGGAGGTTCTGTATCACTGTTGATGCCCAGCGAGAGGGGAAAGGCAAAGGGTTATAGGGAGACTCGTGTATGGTCAACACTGGCTGGCCGTTGCGCTTTGTATAATCGGGACTATTTGCTTGCGAGTTGCCCGCACGCCACCCTGTTTGTACAGCCTCAGGCACCAATTTTCTTTCGATTTTTCACTGACCTGCTGCAGGTCGAGATCTGACTGCTCCAAAGCCAATCGTATCTGGAAATAAAATCGATTAAATGGTTCAATATTTTGTGGGTGAAGAGGGAATGGGAAAATGGTTGAGAAATAACCAGGGATGTTCTCTTCTGGTCAGAAGAACTGGCGGTTGAATTGAAATCATTCGTGAGCAAAATACATTTGTCGATTGTGAATCGGAGAATTCCACTTTTCAAATTTTATTCGAAGCCTAGTTGAGAACAAAGTGTTTTAGTCATTGAATTTAGATGATAATTTCGAGAGAAAATAATATAAAAGGCGTGTAAAATTTGAAAGTCTCCTCAGAGAATAATTCATTAAATTTTCGAAGATTTTTCCCTAAAAATCTTTTTTGTTTTAATCGTAATGAATTCGGCCCTGCGCAGCAATTTAACACGTTCATACAGAAAAATAAAGTCTTCAATAGTTAGAACAATTTCGATTACTCATTTATAAAAAGCAAAGGTAAAAAAAAGGCCGTGACTATTCGCACCATTGCGTGAATCACTCCCGTACACTCCATACACTCCACGCATGCGTGAAGTTTGTGTGTTTCACGCAGCCGAATTTTCATACTGCTGTGTATTTCACGCAGTTGAAGTTTCATACTACTGTGTGTTTCACGCAGTTGAAGTTT